TTCTCTCTCTCTCTCTCTCTCTCTCTCTCTCACTCTCACTCTCTCAATGTTTAGAATCAAATATTAGCATACTGTGTCCTGCAATGTTATATTAATATCATTGAGATACTACAGTTTTTATTAATATTTTGATTCAGTTTTATTTTAATAATTTCCATTTGTATTTTACTTTTAAAGTTTTATTAATTGTGTTGTGTTTTTGTGAGTTTTAGTAGTTTTTGTTTTTATTGCTTTTAGAATTTATATGTCTGCTTTAGTTTGTTATTTTAGTACATTGTTCAATTACATTACAATGAAAAATTTTGCCTTGGAACTAGCTGACATAGCTTTTTTATATTTTATTTTATTTCAGTTAATTAACTTTGGTCAGTCTAATCAGATAGAAGAAACAGATCACAATATATAATAACTGGTTCACTTTCACACTGAAATGCAAGGTTAAATTGTGTAAACTGCATAACAATATATTGTATTCTGTGTGTCTGCTTTCATTTAATACTGCACATTATTGCAGCTGTAGTAAGACATCTCATGTATTTGTCTGTGAATACAGAAAAATTGAATGTATGCATTATTCATACTGTACTGTATAGTGCAAAAATAGTATGCATAGTATGTTTGTATGCTATAGCTGACATTGCCATTCTCCTCTCCTGTTTCTTTTTCCCCTCTCTGTCTCCATCTGTTCAGCTGCAATTTACCGGATTCATTACTTAGATTGAATCATTGGTCAGGCAGTTCCCATGGCAAGCATTCAAGTTAGCATAATGCTAGAATTGCCCGTTGCTGTATACACGTGTCCAGTATGCTCATCTGTGAATGAAATTGCTCACTGTTGTCCAAAAGTGAAAATTCTTTCATCATTTACTTAACGTAAAACACAAATGGAGAAATTTTGAATAATGTGTTTTACATGCAGTGCTGTTTCTTTTTTACGTGAATGGGGACAGAAGATGTGGGGACTCCGTATTTCCGGAGGTCAGTAATTTAAATACGAATCTACACGATTGGGAATTTTGTTTTAGGGTTGAATTTTTCCCTATACAGATTTTTTAACAGGTTCAGGTTTGTCATGCGAATTCACTGTTGATCAACAGAAAGCTACTTGGTTGTGTGCTTCATATATACCGCTACAATATTGACTATAGACAATGGACTTTTTTTGTCAGTGAAATTTCACTAATGTGATCGCACGTTAAAAGTATCGTAAAGGTGATCCATATGACTTGGGCCCTGTATTCCAGGTCTTCTGAAGTCATATGAAAGCTTTGTATGAACACCGCGAAAGTCATTATTCACTGTGACTTTAAATATTAGTCATTATTCAGTCTGACTTTAAATATTATGAGACAAAATAGGTTGTCTGCTTTAGCATAGTTGTCTTTTGGCACCCTGAGCATAATCGATTTCAGTCAACTATTTAAAATACAGTTAAAAACAAAGCAAAGCTTGTTTCTGTAATCTTTTTGTATGTAAATCTGTGATGAAATGATAACTAAGGACAGGCTTCTCATGTTTTGTTGAGATAATGGAAAATGCTTGAGTAGCATACAGTTTCTATCCATCTTATTTTGCAAAGCGGAAGTAACCTATTTTCTATTTTTTCTATTTTTCTATTTCTATTATTGATTGATTGTTTGATTGCTATTGGAGCAAAAAAGGGGGAAAAAAAACCCCGTAAAAATCATAGCCTAATTGTTGTACTTTCCATTCACCACTGTAGAAGTTTCCCCATGTATGACGACTTCCGCTTCTGAGAAATCCGGGAATGTGAAAAAGGCAACAAAATGCAAACACTAACTAGTAGCTCTACAAACCAGTGTGTTTATGTTTATGATAAAAATTAAAATAAGAATGACAATAAACACCGGTTTGCAATATAAAGCAGCTAGACGGACTGTTTTTGTAAAGGTAAGGAAGTGGGCGACAAGTTGCAAAAATTAAAGTGCGTATAACGTTCTCAGAAGAACGCCACTTGGCGAGCATATGCATTTAACACATTCTGCTTTTGTGGTTACAGAAACATTTGAAAATGCTTCTCGGAGGCCTTCAGCATTCCTTCGTGGGAGAGGAGTGTAGTTCAAGCAAGAAAACCAAAACTAAAAAAAGAACAACGAGCTGGCAAGAGACGCAAAAGAGAACTCAAAATGGAGGAGGAAGACAAGTAACTTGGCTGAAAGAATAATGATATAAAGGTTTTATTTTGATCTAAAGCGGTAATTTATAAGAATAAGTAATTTCAACTCAAAATAATAGCTCATGTATTTATTAATTTGTTAATGATCCCCAGATTGTTCACTATACGTTGGAAATGCCATGTTTATACTTGAGGGTAAAATTGCAAAACATTATTCTTCTACAAACTCTCCGAGTTGTAATTCAATTGGCGAATCTCCGCGAAAACATTAGAATGTAATCCAGCAGCTATCCTAATCATTTTATCATATTCCAACCTTTCATCCCCTCACACAGTCTTTTGAATATTTATGAGTTTGCCGACGTCACCAGAGCGCTGAGCAGCGCGTGAAAAGCGGGATGTGAGGGAGGGAGCATGCGGGGAGCGCGAGAGTAGAACGCTGCCATGCAAAGCGTCGCTTGACAGCGTCTTTTTTACTTCCACCTGCGTTAGTCGCATAAAGATTGTGGATTTCATCAGCCCGGCCATTGAAATCGCGTCTTACTTCGATGCCGGAGCGCGATGCATCTTTGCTTTAACGGAGTTGCGTGAAGGATGCTGCACACGGAGGATCGTTGTTTGACATGCACTGACATTTAAAATGAGCCATCTGAACCGTGCACATCTCATGCTTTTCGACTCCCGAATGCACAGCGTGATTAAACGCGTGCTTTTAATCGGAGCGTAATCTCCGTAGGCTCCTCTGACACATTTCTAAACGTTTGTTATGGGGGTCAACACAACAACCCGAGGCGGTGGGATTTGATTGTGACTACTATTACGTGTTTTTACTTGTATATCATATATACTTGGATCATCATTTGCGCTCGTTGATCAGCTAAGCTTGTGAAACTGCTTAACGCGGGTTGTTGTGTGTGGTGCTGAAAGGACAGCTCCCACCACAGCGGATCATATGGATCAATATTAGGGGTCTGACAGTGTCGCTCTCGGGCTTTAATGGCTGTGGCACGCAAGATCAAAACTCTGCTGACGGTCAACATTCTGGTGTTCGTCGGGATCATCTTGTTCTCCGTCTACTGCAGGATTCAGGACCGATCCGAAGAGCTCGTGCAGATCGGGAGGCTGTCGGATCAGAGACTGCGAGGCAGGAATGCCAAAGTTACGAACTCCAGAAGATGTGGTCTATAACCAGTTAAATGGTATGTGGGCTTTAAGCATCTTTCATTAATAGGTAATTTATAGGCATTGTATAATGCATGATAGATCAGTCTTTAATGGACATTTAGATATGATTTAATCTAGATTTACACTTTGGATTTTACTGGGATTGTCATCCTAATACTTTAACACATGACAATTACTACAGACTTGTTTATGATGCAATAAACATGTTAAGAAGAGCAAGACAGGATTAGGTGCATGTAATCCTAATTTGACCCATCAAAATATATCAATAAAATGGATTAAATATAATGATCTTTTAAGCATTACATGGTTTCATAATGTTATTGATTAACTTTAAAGTGCTATCAGAGAAATTAGAGAAAGTATAGTATAATAGCAAGGATGCAGTGCCTGATTGTAACAGCAAAACATTTTGTCCTGTGTCTCTATTTTGAGGGTTTTCAGAGGTGTTGTTCTGAAAGTTTTGTTACATTATGAAAACAAAGTACGCATTTCTCAGAGTATGTCATGTCTTTCCATACGTGTATTATTTTTTTTAGATCAGTTGAATTTATATAAAATGAACGTGCGATTCTACATGCTTGTCTAAATCTGGGACAAAAACTGACCTCTCCTTACGAACTTGTACATAATTTAATAAGTAGAGGAGGATCATTTTTATCTATAAGATGTTTACTTATTTTTTAACAGCAAAATATAATGCAAGAAACAGCAGTGAATCATAATTAAAATAATTAAATATTACAATTATTCAAAATTTCCTATAATATTTGAGAAACTTTGGTTGGGAGGAAAATGCTATATTTTCAGATATGCATGCTCACATAAAATCTACAGATTTCCACAGAATTTTACGTCCTGTCATTAAACAAATTATCTTTCACCAGTGTGTTCGTATATTTTTGGCTAATTTGATTATGCTTTTGGCCATAAATGCAAATATTTGTCAGATTTGTTTAGTACATTTTAGTATTTGTAAATCCATTTTACATAATCCCATAGATTTTACCCCAAAATCATTGCAGAAAATAATCAGCAGCTTCTATCTGGGCCTGTAAAAAGGAATTGTCCTACTGCGATCTTACTTCCCATGCATTCGTCCTTGCCTTAGCCACAGTTGTGCTCCCTCTTAGTTCTTTTCTTAGAATATTAGAGCCCATTTCCTTAATCATTATGTTCCTAGACTAGCATTTTCTCCTGGAGAACATGTGAAGGTCATAGTTCATGTGATGTGCTATCTTTCTTTTAAACGTCTGTTAAAGACCTCTCACTCCCTGTTTGCTTTTCTTAGTGCATCTATTTGATCTGATTGTTATTTTGTAAGACCAGCACCATTTGTGTATGAAGGGGGTCACTCTGTCAGTTTGAATTATCCTTCTTGCATTTGGAAGAAAGCCAAGAGGCACTGCTTCACACAAAAGCCCTCTAATGTGCCCTACTGATTGAGAGCGCTTTCATTCTGCACAAGTGCCACCACATATTTCCCCCAGAGGCTTTTCCACTCTGTAGAATTCATCAGTCTGTCACAAATCTTCCCAATGTTGGGGCCGTTATACATTTTATTTCGACACATATTTATCTGTTGCACATAAAACTTGTGCGATAGTGTGAGGCACTCGCTGATTGTATGTGATATTGAGATTGGAATTGGTTTTCCCTTGAGGTTTTCACATTTCTGTTGCCGTATTTGCTTCCGGTGGTGATTTGACGTAATTTGTTTGTTTTCACACGGAGTAGAGGTGGTGGGAGAGGTAGCAGCCAGTACCCAGTATGTACCATAGTACCCAGCATGATCATGCACCTGGTTTTTCGTGGGGGCACCAGTGGTGTGCTTGGCATAATTGCAATTCACCTTGACAGCCGGTGATAACCATGCATTGTGTTGCATGCAGTATATGCAAGAAGGTGTGACCTGACTGGATGGACCACATTTAGACATGAATGGATGATTTGTTACCACAGTTTCTTTAGACAAAAACTTGTTTTTAACCTACAGTATTCGAAAAAAGAAATAAATAAACAAACAAACAAACTTTTTTATATATATAAATTACAAGTATATTCCACTTAAGTTTGAATGGGCATAATGTGGTATAAAAGCAATTTAAAAAATGTTTCCCTCAATTATTTATTATTTTATTGTTTTTCTCCCAGTAGCATAAAGATTGTTATATAGTCTCTCATTTACTGTGGATTTATAGACAAGTTAATGGCCAGTTTGTATATGTGATGATCAGTTTGTGTATAGTTGAACATTTTCTGAAAATGTACTCACTCTCAGGCCATCCAAGATGTAGATGAGTTTGTTTCTTCATTGGAACTGATTTGAAGAAATTTAGCATTACATCAGTTCCTCATCAATGGATCGTCTTTAGTAAATGGGTGCCATCAGAATGAGCGTTCAAATAGCTGATAAAAATAATCCACAATAATCCACACAACTCCTATTTGTGCATATTTCTCTCCTGATTTACATGAGACGACTTCTTCACTGGAGAAAGCAATAGAGGACTCCTATTTTAGCCAGAAGCAACAATTTGAAGTTAATAATGTCTTGATGAATTTATTCATTATAAACACACAGCTTTTCACTTAAGAAGATGTTAATTGATAGACTGGAGTCGTGTGGATTACTTGTGGATTATGATGATGGTTTTTATCAGCTGTTTGGACTCTCATTCTGATGGCACCCATTAATTGCAGAGGATCCACTGCTGAGCACAAATGATGTAATGCTAAATTTCTCCTAATCTGTTTCAATGAAAAATCAAACTCATCGACATCTTGGAAGGCCTGAGAGTGAGTACATTTTCAGCAAATTTTCATTTTTGGGTGAACTATAAAGTTGTGTTGTGAAGTTCTTCATTGTTTAAAGTGCTTGCTGATTATTCTGTAGGATTGCTTCACCCAACTAAATCTGACCTTGTGGAATAGCTGTGAAGCTAAAGTGTGAGCGTGAAGTGGAAATGTCACTATAAAACCTGAATAGTTTGGGAATTACTTAGAAAATGCATGGAAATCGGTTACCTCGAGTCGCGGGAGTCAAATAAATTTACATTGTACAAAGCTACACAGTACAATAAACTATGACTGCATAGATTAAGGTAATCAGTGCAGGAAGTGAAAAGCCATTTACTATTTTGACAAAATTAACAAGTGCATTTAACAGTGAAAACCAAAGTGCAAAGAGCAGTTCAGGGATAGGAAGTGGGTCATTTCTGACACAGTTGTTTAGAAATGCTGGATTATTGTGAAAAGACCCTTTATCTGACTGCTATTAAAAATGCAGAGCTATGAGAATGTGCAGTTAGCCCCCTGATTAGGCAGCAGATCTACCGTGAGCATTACCGCTAAAATGTACTTAATTTCTACAGATGTAGTTCGGTTTATATCCGCAAACAAAGATGCGGTAGACTGAACAGATTTTTACCTGGGAAGTGATATAAACAGAGAAGACTACATTACCAAACAGTTTGGGCTTTGATACAATTTTTTTATGTTTTTAAAAGAAGTCCCTTCTACTCACCAAGGCTGCATTTATTTGATCAAAATTATAGCAAAAACAGTAATATTGTGAATTTGTAAAAATTAAAAAAATATGTAAATTTTAAAAAATAAAATATCTAAAGGATTGATGATACAGATTAATTTTCACAGCTTTCTTTGATAATTTTTACCCTAGGGTATGAATAATTTTGAGCACAACTGTATACATTTGGCTTATTACACCATGCGGGATCCCCTTGTAGGGTTGAAGCTGTGTAGGTGCCCCATTTGCCATACATCTATAAAAAGTACAATGTTGTTCTGATACAGTGTGCTAGTACTATAGATAATGTAATTTCTCTGGCTCTAGTAATTTAGAGTCAGACT